GGAAATCATGTCTAATGAATATTTAATAATGCTGGAAATGCTTGCAAAATAATGACAAATGAAAATAGCACATTAAAAAGTCAATTTCAACTTTATTAAAAGCATAAATACATACATATTGGAAAATATATGCCTGAAAATTAATAGCGGTTACCTTAAGTAATTTTTGTTTTGTTCAGGGACCACACCTGGCTATGTTAGTTAATCGTAGATTCTAAAAGTTAAAAATGATTGTGATTATTTAATCTAATCCAATGACTCTCAGATTTCAGTGTGCATCCAAATAACCTGGAAGACCTCTAAAGCTCAGATTGCTGAGTTTTTGCCTTAATAGATCTAGATGCCTGAGAATTTGTCTTTACAACAAGTTTCAAGGACATGCTGTTGCTGTTTGTTTAGAGGCCACATTGGGCTTATTGATTGGTTGTTGGTTTTTGTTTGGGGGTTGTTTTTGGTTGATGTTTCTTTTGGTTTATTTGTTTTCTCCTTTGGGCAACATCTGGCCATGTTCGGTACTTACTCCCAGATCTGTGCTCAGGGATCACTCCTGATGGAGTATTGGGGACACATGCGATGCCAGAAATCAACCAGGTTGACTTCATGCAAGGCAAGCACCCTACCCACTATTCTCTCTCTCTCTCTCTCTCTTTCTCTCTTTCTCTCTCTCCCCCTCCGAACCCCCCCCCCCCCACCAGACCATACTTTGAAAAGTAATAATCATCTAACACAGAATCCCAGTTTGTCAACAAATTCCAGGCTTTTCCACCCTTGGCAAAAAACAGCTGTGTGGTTATGTAGTTTCTTGAGCCTCTGGTGGTGGAAACACCCTAATAAAGCAGAGAATTCTCAGACCTGAAAGACTGCTCAAGCCTTCTATAGACACTGCAACCTCAATCATAGTTCCTAAAAGAATGTTTTAAAATACAAGAACTTTCAGGTTTGTGCCTTCCTCCTCCTCTCCAGCTGAAATTTGGGTAATCTTGGACATTTCATAAACCATTTGAGAAGGGCCCATACTTCTGGCTATTGGCTGTTTTGCCTGCCTCAGCTGTCCTGGGAGGGGGACAGCTCTTATTGCTTCTCTCGAAGTAATAAATATGTATTTATTTGCATGGCGAATGGCCCTCACTATCAAATGAACTCTCAGCATTAGTGATATCTAAAACTAGACTCTGAATTTAATAGGAAATCATGCCGCAGCCGTCTTGTGAATTTCCAGCCATCACACTCGACTCAGCTATATCAGTTCTCCCTGTTAAGAAGCAGAAAACTGAAGCTGTGGGACTGCTTTCCTTAGCACTTGCCAGATGTTAGAAATGTTAAGAAATGCTTTAAGCCAATCATGAAGACTTTAATTAATTGCCTGACCTGCCCAATTACCCAAAAAGAGTTTGGGTTTCTAACTATAGAAATATGAAGTGCCCTTTTTCCATCTGTGATCGAAAAAACCGTCTTAAATGAATCCAGCTACCCAGCTATTGAACGCACTGCTCCCTCCTACCTGTTGGGTAAAGAAGGCACGAGACTGACAACTGCTTGTCTCAAAAGGAGGATGTGATCTCATAACATATGTAGAGTTAGCTCTCAGTAACTGTGGTCTTACAGTCCACAAACCACTTCACAATCTCCACATTACCCTACCAAGACATTTGTCAAAATTGCTGACAAACAAAATGGGAGGGATCTGAGTTTCGCTTCCTCTTCTTTGCTCTGAAGGTGCTAACCAGCAAATAAATAGCTCAGCTTGAGACAGAAAAGGAGAAGCATGAGTCTACTATCATGTCAAGAAAATGGACTCCATCAGCAGGAAATGTAGGCAGTGCACCAGCTGCCTCTCTTCCTCCGAACCCAGCCAGCCCCCTACGAGGACAGCCTTCCTGGGTTGTATTGATGAGTTGATATTCCCACTCAGAGCAGGCACTGCTCTGGCTCAGGGAAAACTGGAGTGAGTAAGAGATAGCTCATGTACTCTCGGGACTGAAAGGAAGCTTGTCCCAAAGAAATGTGATACCAATTACTGTCATCAGATTGTGCTTGATGGTCTGGCAAAGATAAATGCTATCAGGGGGCCGGTCTATGCCTCACTTTCATGAATTCTGGAATAACGGCAATGCCAATCAGACATATAACATAGAATGGCGTATGATACACTCATGGTTTTCTTCTCTTCTGGTGACTACAAACAGATAAACTCTCTTCCTAGATCTCCAGGTTGGGAGAAGTCAATAGAGGATTTATTTTCAGTTCCCACTGCACAGACTACACTAATTCTCTACAGGTTTTTTCTTTCCATACCCTGGGCCTAACGCATTTAAACCTGGCTTGCAGTGGTACCCTCTTAGTCAGCTTCTCCCCCATTCTAACTTGCCTTGGCAACACTGTTGAATGAATAATTTCTCTAGAACTCGTTTTCATCATGTCATTCACCAGTTTCCAAAGTTATCATCGTTCTCCATTAACTCATATAAAGCCCATGCCAGCTGCCACCTGTACCTTGACCTCATGACCCCTCCTTTGCCTTACAAGGATTGTGTTCATATGTGAACCCTCTACCCAAGATTTCCCTTTCTCTTTCCAGACATACATTTCCTTTCATTTCTTTTCAAATATTGAAAGTTCTCCTATAAGCACCTGTCATGTTCTTCACATCCTTATTTATTTGTTTTTTTAGTGATAGGGGATTAAACCCTGAGCCTCGTCCATGTAAAGCCTGTAGTGTCTCAGTGTCCCGCATCCCTGATCCACTAGTGGTTTTTCATACTGCCTTGTATATACTAATGGTTTTCAACAAGACCAGTGCTGGCTCCCAGGAATTTTTGCAAGTCTGGAAAAATGGTTTTGCCACTTACTAGAGTGATTTTTCGTGGCCAGTTTTCAGACCATTGCTGGTCAACAGGTGTGAAAAAGTTGAAATCACGGGCTTCTACCATATTGATCCAGGCTTATTGACAGAATTCTTCAAGGGTTCTGTTGTTCTCTGGGAATGCACTGTCATTTCCGGTGCGAATGAATTTACAGATTCTGTTTCTTTTAGTAGACCCTTTTCTCTGCCAATGTAAGATGATAATTATTTAGAGAACTGTTGCATTCTATTTTGCAGTGTACAGTGGGGTTTCGTTGGCAGTCTTTCACTTGATCTTTACAGTTTTGTGAGAGAAAACTATAAACCTATAAAACCTCTGTCAAAGTTCTCATTTTACAGTTCAGTGTGCACTGGTTTTCAGGGTTAAATGATTGTTCAAGGGCTCACAGCAAAAGAATATGAGTTCTAGGATTCAATGAAAGAAAGAACTTTGAGGGGCTGGAGCAGTAATACAGCAGGTTGGATGCTTACCTTGCATGCAGCTAACCCAGATTCGATCCCTGGCATTCCATATGGTCCCCCGAGCATCGCCAGGAGTAGTTCCTGAGTGCAGAGCCAGGAGTAACCCCTGAGCATTGCTGGGTATAGCCCCCCCAAAACAAAAACTTTTTAAAATTAACTCAATGCAAGATCTCCAAATTCTAATGATTCTTATTTGACAGAGGAGAGGGGTCTCCCAAGTGGTGCTTAGGGTGCCCTCGATTCTCAGCCAACATGGTGGTTCCGGGGCTGGACCGATAGCACAGCAGGTAGGGCGTTTGCCTTGCATGCGGCCGACCTGGGTTAATTCCCAGCATCCCATATGGTCCCCTGAGCACAGCCAGGAGTGATTCCTGAGTGCAGAGCCAGGTATAACCTGTGCATCGCTGGGTATAACCTAAAAACAACAACAACAACAAAAATGATGGTTCCATGCATGGGAGCTGCCATGCATGTGATTACCAGGGCCACACCTAGCTGGGCTGGGGTGGGAGGGCATCCAGGGCCAGTGATGCTTGGGGAACATGTGGTGCTGGTAGTCAAACCAGGTGGGCTACATGCAGAGCATGAAACTTTACCCCCTGTGCTGACTTTCTGACCTGCTAAACGGCTCTTGTCCCACATCATCTTCCTTCTCTGAACATGTGTCAGATTCGATAAATGTTGTTGACAAGCTGGTAATGCAGATGATTAAGGTGAGTGTCACCAGGCTGCATTCAACTAGGGATTAAGTACTTGGAAGCCATGCTCTAAGGATAAGGTGGAAAAGGGGGGAAAAAACAAAAGTGATGATTAAGGGGCTAGAAAGCTAGTACAGTGGGTAAGGCACTCGGCTTGCACAACTGACTCGATTCATCCCCTGCATACCATCTGGTCTCTGGAACCCCACCAGGGATGATCCCTGAGCACAGGGTAAACCCTGAAGCAGTTGGGTGTGACCCAAAAAACAGAACAAAATGACCATTGACTATCAGTGTCTTTCACTTTCAGTCTGCAGAAAAAAAAAAGAAAATTCATAAAGCCAACCTTAAAAAAATTAATTTTAGAAGAAAGGTGGTTTAGCCTGGAAGGGTACACAAAGAGGAGACATCTAATAGACTCATTTGGAAATTGTCCACATAGTGTTACTTGGGTCAGAGGTCAGACTAAAGCCTCTAGGTCAACTTTGAGATCCTAGTTGACATTTCTGCACTTCCTGGGCAGGGATGGCCGGAAGTCATGGAGCATAGGACACTGAAAAACTGTGCTCTGGTTCTTTAACCTTTCCATGTGACCTTGAGTGAATCGAAGGCCCCACAGAGACTGGGCCTCCACTCCTTTCTCTCAGCAGAGGCTGAATGGGATGGTCCCTGAGGTCTTCCTCTGGCTGTGACATTCTGAGTCTATAAATAGCAAGGACACAGGACAGGTGCGAGCTGATCACCCCGTGGGAAGCTCACACCTGTCTCTCTCCAGTGTTTCCGCCCTGACTTCCAGTTGCCAAACTCCAGGCCCAGTCAGGCTCCAGTTGCCAAGTTTAAAGCTGTTCAAGGTCAGCCGTCCTTTTGCTGAGGGATCCTTGCAAGCCAAAGCTGACCTCTGTCTCTCTGAGACTCCCTCTCCCTTGGCTGCCTGGGATTCGCACCTCACTAATTCAACTCTGCCTCTTGCTTTTTAGATTAAAATTACCCACAAGAACCAAGCACCCATGATGATGGGGCCTCCTCAGAAGAGCAGCTTCTTCTCCCTGAGAAGGAAGAGTCGTTCCAAAGACTAGACAAAGTGCCAAACACCTGATATGCCAAGAAAGAAGACAAGAAACGCACACAGACACACACACAGACACACACACTACACACACACATACACACACACACACACACACACACGCTTCTCTAGCCAGTGGGAGTAAACACACCATTCAGGAAGTAATCTTCACCTCCCATTTAGTCTGTTTCAACAATGTGTACACGCCAACTAAACCAACTCCAACAGGACACTCTGAATGGATGCAGTACCCACCAGGGCATGGGGGTCTTGCAGCAACTTCCACCTTCCCAGAAGGCCTTTCCTGAGTGGGATTATCCAAGACTTCAGGAGAAGTCCCCCTTTCTTTCACCAACACTGCAAGTTGCATCTTTTCTTCGCGGACACTCACACGGAGCGAGGTGCAAGTTTCCTGCCAAGAGCGAGATCGGATGTGGCGAAGGGAAGGAGCTCCTGTTCCAGCAAGCTTGCACAAAGCTCCCTCTGTGGAGAGACAAGACGCCTCCTACTCTCTGAGCCCAGCGCTTGGCAGGACTCCTGGAGCACACGTTGTTGGTGTCATGGTTGTCTTTCGAGCGACAACTTCTCCCTGAACTCACTGAGGAGGCAGGGAGGCTGTGGAGAGCCGGGTTTTTCTTCTTGGTTCCCTGCCCTGTCGGGAGGCACTGCTTCTTATTATCCCCAAGCCCTTTCCTGGGGACTGTGCGTTTGTTCTGTGTCGGCTCCCGGCTCCCAGAGCCCCCCGTGTGCCTCAGAGGCACACCTTAGATGTGGTATTTATTTTCTTAGTTCTGCAAACACCTGGGAGGGAAAGCAGAAAAACTGGGATCTATTTTTCAAATTGGTGTCATAATATTGTGTAAAAGGGGAAGAGAAAAAAAAAAACACCCCCAGCTTCTTTCTTTTTCAAGCCGAAGTGTGTTTCCTGTATAAGTTTGAAGCCCTGGTGGCAGACTATTCCTGAAAGCAGACAAGATGGGAGAGAAGGGCCTTTGCTGAAGGGACCAGGAGCCAAACTATTAAGTAGTTCTCTCCTGCTTCTTTGCACCTTCCTCTCCCAACGTATGTCATGCAGGCCCTTCTGCTGGTCTGTGTATACACATTTGTAGCATATATATTTATGTATATAAATATTTATTTCCTGGTGAACTTTTCCTGGTTGAAAAAAAAAACCCACATGTAGTCTAGGAACAGAAAGTGAAAAAGGAAAACAAAGTTTCTTAGCCTCCCCAACCCCCATTCCATTTCAGTGTCAAGACTCATTTCCTTATGGCAATCACAAGATTTGAGGGAAACGAAAGTGGCTCCTTGTCTAAAAAAGACTGAGAATATGTACTCTAGATTTAAAAAAAAAAAAAAAACAGAAAGAAAACATGAGCGGTGTTCTGGGCAGGTCGTACTCTCCATTTGTCAGATAAGAAAACTGAGTGTCTCAGCACATTTAAGAGACTTGTTCTTGGTATCTCAGTTAATATGGTTTGGGAATAGGTGTCTCTAAAAAGAGAACCAAGTGAGAAAAGAAGCCACACCTCCTGGAATAGGGATTTGTCCAGTACCTGAGAAACGATCCCATTTGGATGCAGATGTCTGAGGAAGAATGAATGTGCAGCCTATATGGATGGAAGGGGCAAGCCTGCATGAGAAAAACGAGGGCCTTATGATGTTCTCTGGCCTCGATGGGTGAGAAATTAGTCTGAGGTTGAAGGTATTAGACAGATGATCAAATCTAACTGTCCACATGACACCTCATCATGATTCTCATAGTCTCCTAATCTGGAAAAATCCTGACTGCAGGGATGACCTCGGTGGATAGTCACAAGGAAGACGATGGTGCCTTCTGCAAGATGCTGCCAGCCAGGACTCAGCAGAGGGTCTAGACAGGGCGCAGAGGGCTTCATTCAGCTGGGGCCAGCATGGTCCTCTTTTTCCCAAGGGCAAGTTTGTTTTATTGGTAGACACATTGGCCTCTGCACCTTTACTTTCTTGGGCTTCCATCCTCCCTTTGAGATGTCTCAAAGAAACCTGGGCCCACTCAACCTGGATCCACTGAATTGTCTCTTTGCACTGGGTCAACTATGAGCATGGAAGGGCAAATTAAGGTTGCATGTATGAATCGATACTAATTTTGATGGAAGCATCCACTTAGGACCATCTAGTTTGGAAATCTAGGATATCCTGCTGACCTCACAGTGCAGACTGCTGGGCCAGGGGAGAACCGGGCCACCTGAAGAATTATTCTTACTGATGTGACCCTTGGTGCTGAGACCCACAAGCTCCAGATTGGCAACAGGTACTATCTTGGAAGCCACTTGATTCTAAAACTGAGGCAGCCCCCTGGTTAAGGTCACTGGTTCTAAGACACTTACATGAAGTTCTTGACTATATTTCTCCCCTGACCCCCAAGATTGAGGCTGTTGAGATATGTCATCATCAACGGGTAAGACAATTCTCAGAGGTTTCCAAGTGTCTCTTCAACATCAAGTGACACAAAAGAGATAGTCCTGCCTGCTCTTGAGTATAGAATTTACAGGGTTACTTAAAAGATAGTTCTAAAGCCCTTCTTAGAATCACAGAGTATAACAAACTTGAGCGGAATTGCAAGTATAGCTTAGTAATGTCTAGTGTTGCTTAACTTGGCAACTCATCTCTTAACTACTAGGACAGTGGTTTCTTCCTGCAGAGAATCTCATCATAAGGCTTTTCACAGTAATCTCTGAAGCTGGCAGAGAAGGTAATAGTATTCCCCCCCCCCCCATGCCCATCTTCATATTGAGAAAAGCAAGTCTTAGTATAGTTAAGGTATCTCTAAGTCACACAATTAAACTGTCAAGAGAGATTCCAGGATCCTATTCCTTGTCTCATTCTGACCCAGCACAATCATGTTCTCACCTGCCCCCACATTTCTACTATCCCACTAGCAATAAAATGAGGATACAAGTGATCTTCAATACATTGTGTTGCCCATGAATGAAAGCACTAGGAATTGCATCTCATTAGGGTGGTATATGGTCTTTGTGGGTTTCCTCCACTTAATTGAGAGTGAAGACAAACTTAGTACGATTATTATATTTCAGGTCAGAGACCAGCTCCTCTCAAGAGAGTTCTTTCCACAGATGGAAAAGATATGTTAAAATTGCCAAATAAATTAGGAAATACTTGGCAGATCCTAGAAGAGCCTCCAGACTGGCATTACATAACATGCATATACATTATACATATGCACATTATATAAGGTGACATAGTACTTAATGTGCTGTATATATTATGTAAATTACATATTTGTGAGTAATCATGATAAATATAGAGACCCACTAATCACTTTTTTACACATACTCAGTGACAGATTAGGAAGTTACTTTGCCAGGGAGTCTTAAAACTTACTCTCTCCTGCTGCTTTGGTTCCAACTACTGCCAAAAATAATTACATCAACTTTTCCCTCCCTAACCCCCCCTCCTCTTGGCCAAACGCTCTGTTATCTCCTGTCCCAATTAGGCTATACCTTCTTTAGAGCACTACCATGGTTTGAATCCATAATAAAATAGATTCATGGAATTGGGAAAAAATAGACTCATAGACCCCCTATATCAAGGTCTGTACATCAATGCTCCCTGGCAGGAATGTGCCAAAGGCTAATAAAAAGGGAGATGATAGTGGAGAGAAGGAAGAAGATGCTACCAGCCTTCAAAGGAAGGAAGCCTTACTGCGTTTGTGAACCACCAGTTTCAGGATCCAACAGTCAGAATGTTAAGTTCCTCCAGCATATATGATACTATCACTTCCTAAAATAGGTTTCACAAAATACTAGCATCCATAAAATGTTCCATGACAAAAGAGTACTGTGGTCAGGTACTAGATTCCCCATCTTGGAGAGACATAAAAAGTCTTACCCATTGTAAAATAGATGCTTTTACTCACTCGCCAACATCTGTAGATTAAGAACACTGCCTCAAGTCCACCATTTATTTTTATCCTCAATGGAAACGAGAACATGCAAGTAACCATCCTCTGTAATACTATAAAAAGTACTGGGAGTACTATAAAAAAATACTCCTTTTCTAGGACAAGGAATCTTCAGCAAACTCCTAGTCATGCTCAGCCCAGTGCTGCACAGACCCAGCAGTGTTGGGAGCTTCAGGGTGACCCTGACAATGCTTGAGAGACCCAGAGGGTGCCAGAAATTGAGGCCTTTGCACGCATGCATGTGCTCAAGCACTTTGTGCTCTCTCCCAGCAGTCTCGATTCCTAAGGTGCTCTTTCTAGCTTTTTCTATGTGACTGTTTTATTCCTTTTATTTTTCCCATCTATAAGTTTTCACATAAGAATCAAGGACCTGGGGCTGGAGAAATAGCACAGTGGGTAGGGTGCTTGCCTTGCACGCGGCCAACCCAGGTTCGATTCCCAGCATCCCATATGGTCCCCTGAGTACCACTAGGCGTAATTTCTGAGTGTATGAGCCAGGAGTAACCCTTGTGCAATGCTGAGTGTGACCCAAAAAGCAAAAAAAAAAAAAAAGAATAAAGGACCTAGAACTTCCCTGAGTGGAGAAGGGACTAAGGAAAACAAAGAGCTTAGACTGCATCTGTGCAGCTCCAGAAAACAGGCTCACATGGGAACAGCTGCCTTGTGGGAAAATGAATGCATGACCACTTACTCTTATAGAAGGAGCCTTGATTTGTTCCACTTAGGAAAAAGCAGTGATTGACCTACCTTATCCAATAGGCCACGAAAGCTGGTTTTTAAAGAATCCATGTTAAATCTGTGGTTCTATAAACATTCTTTTAAACAGCTCTAGCATCCCTTATTTTTTGTAAGACGGAATATACACCAGAGAGATTATGAATGAGTAGGTAGTAACCAGTTAAACCACACTTACACATAGTAGGATTGAGCAGATTTCATCAGCAACCTCAAAAGTAGCTAGTATTAGTAGAGGTGTGTTCTTGGTTGCCTCGAGAATTAAAGGAATGAGTTATGGTATTAAAACCAATAGAGATTTTCTGTTTCTGCTTGGCTCCATATTAGCAATGGAGAACAATTCTCCTGGTCACACAGACCAGACCCAC